GACTCTGAAGCCAAGCAAACTAAAGCTGTGATTAGAATGGGAAAAGGCATGGAATGCAAACTGCTCTAGAGAAAATATTGATGAATCTCTCGAGGATTAACTTAATTGTAGGGGATAAAGTATTTTAAAGTGACACTAAACATGCAGACCTGTTTTACTTAAGAGGAAGTGGGAGGAATCAGGTTATTAATTTATCTAACTGTCCTTTACCACACACCTCCACTGGCCCCAGTCTCCCTACATCTTTATTATCTTACTCATCCTGGAGTCACTTGAATTCCGGGCCAAGAAAGCCCCAGCTTCCCATTTCCTCATGACCTTGTAGTCAATAATCAAGTCTGTCCCTATCTAAGGTGTTCTCTTCTTCTGTGTCTCTGAGGTTCAGGACAGCCCAACTCTCCTCTCCATCATCACAGCAATTTCAAAGATAAAAAGTGGCATCTAGTTTCCATCCTTCCTTACTTTGACTTGAACCTAGGAAAGCTCAGGTGGTTCTGAAATAACAGTTTGCAAAGATGTAATCCTACTAGAGAGCAGGTTTCTAGCTAGAAACCAAGATGAAATTTCTGTTAGAATGTAACTTCTTTACAAAGAACACCTGTGCCTCAGCTGTCCTCGTTCCAGTTCATTTGACTCCTCTTTCCATACCTTGTGTGTAAGTTCTACAAATAGCAAGATAAAAGGCTCTTCAGACCTCTTTAGAGGACTGTCTTACACAGATTCTGTCTCAGCCCATTCACTTAATATGAGTAGCATTTAATTCTAGGCCCTTATTCTGCAGACCCTCTTGGTGACTGTGCTCAAGACTCACCTGCATGAACATTTGAAAGCACCTCTATTGTAGCTGTAAGGAGCTCTGGTAGGTTAGTGGTAAGAGGTTGAGCTGCCAACCCAAAAGCATGCAGTTTGAATTCACCAGCTGTTCTGTGAGAAAAAGATAGGCAGTCTCCTCCTGTGTGGCTTTGTTGCCTCTGAAAACCTGCTGGAGGGTTCATTGTGAGTCATTACTGACTTGATGATACATAACATCTGGAGATGTGGGGGGCTCAGATCATTAGACTCTGCTTTTTATTTCTTTCTTCTCTTCGTTTTCACTTTTTCTTCCTAACTCCATTTGTGTAGTTTATGAGATCTGTGGAATATTAATTTCTCATTTCCACCCTCACACTTTCTTCCATGTCTCTGGGCAGCCTTCCTGCTCTAGTCTCACATTTCTTAGCCCAGTGAGTTCCAGAAGTTTTGCAGAGAAGTTATAAGTTATCTTGGCTGTGTAGTACTAGTTCTCTCTATAGCACTTAACTCCAGCAATCTCTAGCTCTCTTCTGAAAGGAATTTGAAAACAACCAAAAGGGAGTCCCAGGGAATGAGAAATTATTGGTTCCTGTTAGTCTTACTATCTGCCTAATCCACTACCTTAGAGATAGATTCAGCTCTGTTTTCCTGATAGTAATATTATGATTGGAAGCAAAAGTGGTAGAAAGAGACTAATAGTGTAAGCCTTTTTTAAAAAAAAAATTGTATTCATGTCTGTGCTTAATTTCTAAAAATAATCAAGAGGCTATAATATTGGCACTTTGAAGAAGAGCATACTTTACATTTTGGGAAAGGAGTCTAGATTGGACTTGATATACAAATATTTCCTTGATGTCTTCTTCACTCTAAGTCCTTTGCCTGCTGGCAATCCTTGTTAGTTAGGGAAAAGAGCAGGTAGCACTGTTTCTCCTCAGTTCATGTCTGAGGAACTGTACGTGCCAAGTAGAATATGATCCATTAAAATTACATGGACAACTGTACACCACATTCATCGCAGCACCTTTCACAAGAGCTAAAAGGTGGGAACCATTAAAATGTCTGTTATCAGATGAGTTATTGTTGTTGTTATGTGCCATCGAGTCGCTTGCGACTCATAGCGACCCTATGTACAACAGCCCTAAACTCTGCCCTATCCTGTGCCAATCACACTGTCTCCGACACTCCCATCCCGATTATTCCAGTCACTGAATCAATCCACCTCATAGAGGGCCTTCCCCTCCTGCGCTGTCCCCCCACCCTCCCAAGCATGATGTCCCTCTCCAAGGACCAGTCTCTCCTCACTACATGTCCAAAGTATGTCAGACGGAGCAGATGAGTGGATGAACAAAATGTGGTATATACATACAATGAAATATTATTCAGCCAGAAACAAAGATGAAGTCTGACTGTTTGCCACAAGATGAACCTTGAAAATATTATATTGAATGAAATAAGTTGATCTCACTTATGTGAGATGAACAAATATTTAAACACCAAACATTGTGTTGCAGGAATGAGAAAGATGGGTGTGGGGAGAGTTTTTGCTTAGGGGACATTGATCTATGTTAATGTGGGAGAACAGCTTAAAAAAAAAGGATGGTGATAATGGTGGCACAACATGAAGAACATACTCAATATCTCGGAATTTTCCATGTAGAACCTGGTGAGGTGATGAAAGTTCTGGTGTGTATATTTTCACTACAGTAAATATTGCATAAGTAAGCTTAATTTTATATATAAAGATTATAACACAAAATTGCTGTGATCACATAAAGTAATTGTTTTTAAAATATGTAAGGGCTCGGTGGCCACCTTGTAAGAAAAGTGGAAGATTCCAGCAGGTTGGCAGAAATGAGGCTAGTAGAGATGCAAGGTCCTTGTTCCGTCCTGGCTGCCCTCAAGTGGACATTTAGGAGGTTTTTATTTTCTAAATTTTTGTTATTATTTAAGTAACACCACTGAGTAAACAGCAACCAGAATGGCCCATAGTAAAAGAGAGCTGACACACAAAACCCAGCCCAAAAACCAGTGGTAGAGACAAAACTGCTATCAGCCCCTTATGGCCCCTGCATAGGATTGGACATTTGCTGCTAGCTTCCAGTTTTTCTCTTCCCAGACCCCTGCTGAGATTAAAGCTCTGTTCTCTGACAATATAGGTTTCCCTAATGCCCTGACTGACTAGAACAGAGCCAGTTTTAGCACTTTCATTGCATTCCCTACCTTTTCCTCTATTGTCCGTCTCCCTTCAGGTCACAAATCTTAAAAAGCTGGCAACCATGTGAATTTTTTTTTTTTTTGGCTCATATAGAATTCATATACCAGGAGTGTGTCTGCTTGTTCTGTATTTTTATTGGCTGTAGCAGGCTCAAGTGGCAACTCTGTAATTTTGCTCTTTTACAACATGGGTGATTCATGGTCAGGAGAGGAGGGTGTTTTAGAAGGAAGAGAAATATTCAGAATGACAGCATTTATAGTGACAAGGTACAGTAATGTTCTGGGTTTTTTTGTTTTTACATTTCTCTGTCTTTATTTCATAAAATAGTCTTAAGAATGGAAAATATGGCATATTCAAACATTTACTCTGCCTCTGTGAGTATTAACCAAGCCCTCAGAGACAAGTCTAGCTTCTCGCTTTCACTTTCTGGTAGAAAGGCAACTTTAATTGAAGTTTTCAAACTGTAGATGTTACCATACAAAAACTGAACTTTTGACTTAAACAAAAATAACCTCAAAACAAAATCCCTTGTATGTTTTAACTTCTTGTAATTTGTGAAGACCCAAACATTTAAGTAGCTTTTGAAGGGACTTCCAATCCAAACCAATAAGATTTCTGGCTGGAAGTAGAATTCACTGAGGTGAATAGGTAGTAGGTGAATGGATACCTTGGTAGGTGGGTAGATAGATAGGTAAGATGATAGCTCTTGTTGCATCAACTCAAAGCCACAGTGACTTTATGTGTGATAGAAGAACAGATTGTGACTTGAATCCCATAGGAACCTATAACAAAAAACCTACAGAACAAAATGTTGCTTGGTCTTGAATAATCTGAGCTGTCCTCAGATTATTGGAGTCTATGGTTTTGTCTATAGATCTTACAGAAAATCTTTCTCCCTTCGCTGACTCTATGTTTCATCAAACATGGTGTCTTCCACTTGCAGCTGACCTCCCCTGATGAAGTGTTCTAGTTAAGTGAGCTGAGCAGTGTCCTGTTATGATCTATAAGACTTTTATTGGCTAATTTTAGGCCTGCCTTCTTAGTCTGCCTTAGACTGAAGGGTATGCTGAAATCTGTCCCCCAAGGGGGACTGACTAGTATGTGAAATACTAATGGCATAGCTTCCATCATTACAGCAGCACCGACATCACCCACGTGCGTGCCAAACTGAAAGTTGAGTGATCAACAAATATCTACTTTTCAAGTATCAGTATCCAGCCTTCTTTGATTGAATTCCTATTCACATTTATACCCATTCTCTTTTTATTTCATGTCCTTGAATGTATGTTTTTATGTACTGTATATTTCAGAAATAAAAGCTTACCACCTGATCACTAATTACCCACATAGTACTGCAACAACCCAGTCACAAAGCTGTCACTTGCACCTGTATGTAACAGTAGTATAATCCGCTGCAAGCAGACATCCTAGTCATATACATTAGAACACAAACAAAAACTGTCTTGTTTTGTAATATGCTTAGGTTTGGTCTAGTGATAATTTTTTACTTAGGAAGCTATAATATGACAAGAAAGTCCATGTAATATTTTGGGGGAAACCATTCCTAAGACAACAGTTTGCTAGCGAGATAAGTTTCAGGATGGCATTAAGTATAAATGTGAGTAGTTCTGTTTTTTTTTTAAACCTTATATGTGACTATCTTTAGATTCTACCAGCCAAATAAGCTTCTTTCATGGCATATTACATAGTTTAGAAAGTGAATTAAACCTTTAAAGCTACAAGGTCACATGTTAGTAAGTTCATTTCCTGACCCCACCCCTCAGTGTTGCGCCTCGGGCCTTAAGGAGCAGCTTACACACATTGATGAGCATTTTGAATTTAGGTCAATGGAAATGAGGAAGAAAAAAAAAAGGAACAACTGATCTTAGCTTTTAACAGAACATAACAGTCTAACTATATACCAATCACATGTTTCTGAAAGACACATAGCTAATGAGGTTATAATTTTATTCTTTCTTGCTCTTCACTCAAGGCATAATTCAATCCGAAGACAACTCAACCTGTCAAACCCAGACTTCAACATCCAGCAGCTTCAAAAACAGGAACAGTTGACTGGAATTGGTCGCATTAAACCGGAGTTGTATAAGCAGAGGTCAGTTGATAATGAGGATGGGAGGAGGAGTAACAGCAAAGCCTGTGGGAAACTGAACTTCATTTTAAAATATGACTGCGACTTAGAGCAGCTCATTGTAAAGATTCACAAAGCCGTCAATTTGCCTGCCAAGGACTTCTCTGGGACATCTGATCCGTACGTCAAGATCTATTTGCTTCCTGATCGGAAAACCAAACATCAGACTAAAGTTCACAGAAAAACTCTGAACCCAGTGTTTGATGAAGTGTTTTTATTTCCGGTTCCCTACAATGACCTTGCAGGACGCAAGCTTCACTTCTCTGTGTACGACTTTGATAGGTTCTCTCGCCATGACTTGATCGGCCAGGTGGTGGTGGATCACTTCTTGGACCTGGCCGACTTCCCCAGAGAGTGCATCCTTTGGAAGGATATTGAGTATGTCACCAATGTAAGTCCAGCATTTCTTCATTTTGGGATCAACGTGGAAATAGATTACTTATACATTATTTTATTTTGAGTCCAAAGTATAGAATCCATGTCAATATACATGTATGGTTGTTGATTTGGGGGAGGGGTGGGAGGAACCAGTGGCCTTTTAGTTAACCCAAACTTATTATGACTCTCTATTAAAATATAAATGCTCCTTAAGGTTTAAATAGCTGATTTTTCAGAAGGAGATTGCCAGGTCTTTCTATGAATGCACTTTTTAGTTGATTTGAACTTGTAACCTTTTGGTTAACAACTGGGTACTCTAATCATTTGCACCACCCAGATTACTCCTTTCAATTTTAGAGCTTCATTGTATATTTTAAGAAACATGTTTAACAATGTTCATTTTTAAATTTCTAACATTATTCATGAAAGCAATAGTAAAGAATACAATCCACTATTTTCTACTTCCTGATTCTTAGCTATTTCCCAGAGTAGTGGTGATGGTGTAATGTGCCATCAAGTTGGTAGTAGATGTTGTTAGCTTTTACACCAAATCCTTTAGAGCTTTCTTACAGTGTTTTTGCAAAGTGAATCTGAGTATTCTCTTAACTGCAGATTGCAACTAAGAGATTCTTGCCTGACTCACTCAAGTTGGTTCAGTAACATTTCTCATTATCCAATCCTCAGCTTTTACCATTGAAAGTGAAAGTGGCTGAGAAGAATGGGCACCATATTTTTAAGTACAGAGCCTTTAGAATCAGTTACAGAGAGATTCGTCTGGGTCATATGGAATTTCTATGTTCAGCTTTTTGAGGAAGCAACAAACTGTCTTCCAGAATGGCTGTACCATTTTAAAATCCCACTAACAGCGTATGAGTTCCCTTCTTGCCACATCCTCTCCAACATTTATTACTTGCTACCCTGTTAAACTTTGCCACTGTTACTGGAGTGAAATGGTACTTCATTGTAGTTTTGATTTGCATCTTTTTTATTGCCAGAATTTTGGAGTATTTCTTTGTGTGTCTGTTTGCCATTCTAATATCTTACTCTGTGAAAATTCTTTCCATGAGATTATGATAACTGAGGCACAAACTATGAGATTTGTACACCAGTGTTAATAGCAGCATTATTCACCATTGCAAGAACATGGAAACAGCCCCAAATATCCAACTACAAACCAATGGATTGAGAAATTATGGTATATTCACATAATGGAATACTATGCAGAACACAGAAGCAATTGTTTTGTAAATTATTACCTAACTTTGGAGGGACCGGAGAGCATTATGCTGAGCCTAACTCAGTCCCACAAAGATAAACATTGTATAAAACCATTATGGTAGAATGAGTATAAAGATCCAAGAGGGATGGGAGAGGTTGAAAACAGGGATGATGGGGGTTGTGGGGGGAGGGGAAGGGAGGAAAATTGAAAGAATTTGTTCAACTTTATATTCAAAATTTGTAAATAAACAAAAATAAAATATTGGTAACTTTTTAAAAAAGACATTCATCTGAAAAGATGTTACAGGTATTAGAAAAAAATGCATGTATGATAGGTGAAATCCAGTGTAGCTCAGGAGAGAAGGCAGAGGTGCTCTAGTGGCTCACAAATCCATGCTGGCATTTCAAACATAAAGGTGAGGAGGTGGCACTTTTACTTCATTTCTAGGAAGCTCTAATGGTGTAGTCTGTCGAGAATCGAAGTCTGTAGGGAGTTGTGCTGTTAACTGAAGTCTGGGTATGTGTGGTGGTTTGAATCCACTGGCAGCTGCCTTGGAGAAAGATGGGCAATCTCCTGTGCAATTTATAGCTTTGGAAACCAAAGAGAGGGTCAACTGTGAGTCTGTTCCATTTCATTGGCAATGAATAAGTTGAATCACTTATCATGCAGAGGTGCACTGGCTCTTCTGAAATAGAAAGGAAACTTAATCGTCTTTCTTTTACCTAACTTTCCTTATATAATTTTTACTCATCTTGATTTTGCTTACAATATATCTTCTTGATTTCTAGGCCCTTTAAGGCTAGCAGGCCAAAAGACCAAGCACTACAGTCTTAGCTCAGAATCTGATCTCAATTCAGTTTGGAACCTATTCACTGAAAAGCTGATACTGGCAGAGGACACACAATTTCTTAACCAAATACCACACTGGTCCTCTCCCAGCCTCATCAAGTGGGACGCACACATTTAGATTGTTTCAAGATGTCACACACTTTTTGTTTCAAGATTATGTCAGGTGGTGGCAATGGGTAGTAGTGTTCCCTGAGAGAAATCTAAAAGTAGTCATTGTACACAGAAGGTAGGGACAGACCACTCCAGACTGAACATATGGTCTAAGATTTTTGTCATATGTTGAATTGTGTGTGTTATCTTGGCTAGGCCACAATTCTCTATGGCTTTAGAGTTGTGTAATGATGTAATTTGACAGTTTTGTAATGATAAAATTCTCCCCCATGATGTGATCTGATATAGTTAACTTCTTTGATGTTTGTAAACACCTCTGTGTGTTAATAAGGAAGGATTAGGTTATATTCCTGGGCATACGATCAGAGTACATTTGTTATACTAATAAAACAGGATTAGGGTAGGAGGTTGATGTTGTTGGCTGCTGAGTTGGAACTGGCTCATACCTGATGCTCCAGCAGTTTTTCAGAGGCATGCATGGGAAGTTTCGCTGCTGTCTGCCCTGTACCACTGTCTAACAAGAGATAAGAGGAGAAAGAAGTGCGTGGAGAGAGAGCAACCCCCTAACATCAAGATTGAGGAACCTTGGACTCCTGGGTTGAGAAACTCCTAAATGAAGGGGAAGATTGATGTTAGGACACAAGATTGGTGCCAGGAACACCAGGCCCACAAATGTTAAAAGAGACATTAGAGAGATACAGAACCTATCTTGAGCTGAAACTCTGAGTTCAGGTTTCTAGTCTCCTAAACTGTGAGAAAATAAATTTCTATTTGGTAAATCCTTTCCTTTGTGGTGTTGAGCTTCCAACAACCCTACATAACAAAGGCAGATATATTATGGGAACAGCTTACAAGGTGAAGTCTTGGACAGCAGCAGAATGTGTGGATCTTTGAGTCCTGCCTTAAGCTGAAGAGATTGTAAATGTTTTCATTTGGATATTCAAAGATCTTAAGTTCTTTGGCCTCCTACTTGTTTGTGGAAATGGGGCATTTTCAGGAAGGTGGTAGTTTTAGGGCTGAGGCAGCTCACAGGTCCTGGATCAGTCATGTCCTCATTTGTCCTCCCAACAACATGTCACAAGCTACAGTACCAACTTTCCCCTGTCACTTAGATCACTGAAGTGTTTCATGCGATTCTGCTGACCTTTCCCCTAACATTAAGAAAATAAAAGAAGGGACTTGAGAAGGCACAGAGAATAACAGTAAAACTAATGGGAGATCAGGGAAGGAGCAAACCTGTTCAGTAGTGAAAGGCTATAATATCTGTACATCCAAAAAAGGAATACTAGGGAAAGCAAGGATTATCTTCCAGCATCATTCCATTGCTCTTATTTGTGAGCTCGAATGCCAAAATCAGGTGGTATCGTTAGATTCTCTACAGAAACAAAAATGGCAGGTTGCTTCTGCTAAGAAGTAAATGACTTAAGAATTAGCCTCTCGCTGGAGTATTTTCTGAGTCTCCTTAGATCCTGAAGCTGAGATTCCTCTAGTCTGTGAAGCCTTAGTCTCAGGATAAGGGAGGGAGGAGTTAGCCACACCTCTGAGTATGACACCAATTCATCTCTTTTGACAAATGGATTCTATTAAATGGCTAGAGTGATTATTAGAAAGCCCAACAGGAATCCTTCTTGTAGCTATGAGGAGAACAAAATAACGAAGGCATAGTGGCTGATAACGACTAGATAAGGCTGATCCCTGATGGAAAGTCTGACCCATTGACTATGGGACAAGAATACCGAATGCTGGTCAGAGACCTTGTGGCTCTGAGATCATGGCATTCTTCAGAGACCAAGAATTGCTGTTTTTTGTTAAACAATTCTGAATTTTTATAGAGTTGAAGAGAATGTGAAGAAATTGTGTACCAAGTTATAAAAATTAAATTTTTTCCCTTTATCAGTGTGATAAGATGGTGGTTAGTTGCTCTGGAGCTGATTCTGACTTATGGTGATCCCATGTGTGTACAATAGGACTGTTCTATAGAGTTTGCAAGGCAAAGAAATGTTTTCCAAAGAACCTTTTCAGATCTGTCTCCTGAGGAGCCTCTGAGTGGGTTCAAACCATCAACCTTTTAGCTAGTTGAATATTTAATGATTTGTATTGCCCAGGGACTTGTAATAAGGCTAAAGGCCTCAGAATGCTTGGCTGGCTCCTTGAGCTATTTGTAAATATTCTGAATAGTAATCTAGGCCTTTGCGTGGCCAGCAGGAGAGGATGGCAGGTCCTGCAAATGGAATGAAAATATTTTCATTATCTGCCATACATTGTGTAAATTCCACTTGGGCAGTTATTTGGGAGTTGTTTTGAGTAAATTAAAAATATTACACAGAAACGGAATATGAGGTTTGAGATTCACTAGGGTTCAATTTTTTTAATACAACATGCATATTGCACATTGAATTAAGGTACACTCACAATATATTGTTTACTTTTGCCAATTTATGCTTTTCACAGATCTTTGTGGTTTTAGTCAACATTGATTAGTGACATTTAACAATGGAGATTAATGAAGCAGCTGTGGTTCTTGTGGTTTTTGTTGCTGGGAAATATTCCATTGCATTGATTGGGAGCTCTGGTGGCCTGCTGGGAAAAGAGTTACATTAACAACCCAAAGGCAGGCAGTTTGAATCCACCAAATGTTCCTCAGAAGAAAGATAGCCAGTCTTTTCCTGTGTGATTTATAGCCTCTGAAATCCCACTGGATAGGCAGCTGTAAGTCACTTCTGACTTAATGACAATGAAAGATAGACATAGGACAATGGCTGTATTTGAGTGTTTTTCAATAATTCTGAGTAGTGCTGCAGATAGTTAATTTTTGTATGATTTCTGGCTAACTT